CCAAGAAACCACTAACTAAATGTGTATTTTCAAGCTCTTATCAGGTATATAAGTAGGCAATCGCTCTTATTGTAAAAGAATCTTCTTCATCTCTGTTGTGTGAATCATCTTTTGCTCTCTGTTATGGTTTATCTCGTTAAGTCTCAAAATTGTAATTTCTTGTTGTGATTGGTAGAATCATAAGGTGAAGGTTGTGTTTCCTTCTGAGTTAGAGAATCTTGGGTAGTTTTTCTCTTAGGTTTAAAGGGTTACAATAGAGTTTTCAAGTTGAGAGAAAAGAAGGTTAGTCTTGATTGAGAAGTGAATTGTACTCTGTAAATCTTCAAAGTTAGTGCAGTGAGCCTCAGTATTTTGGAGCTCAATGTGGACACAATCTATCCAAATCTTGGATAGGTGAACCACGGTAAAGACTCTTATGTGTTCGTTCTTGATTGTGTGTGTGTGAGATTGGTAGCAAAAGATTGATAATTAGGCCCATCATAAGAGTGGTATCAGAGCTAGAGTTTTAGGGTTTGCCGAATTTCTAGTGTTTCTTGATTTGGCAATTTCTTGAAATCTAGGGTTTGTCAAAATTGGGGTTTTTTTGATTTGATAGCTCCTGGGTAGTCTAGGGTTCCTAAATCATCGATTCATCTATCAATTTGTAAGAATCAGAAATTAATTTCGATCTCTAGGGTTCAAAATTAGAAATCAATTTCGATTTTTAGCCACATCATGAGTACTACACATATGGAAATCTCCTAGTATGATGGGAAGATTGACTTCAACAGTTGGAAGAAGAAGATGAAAGCTCTCATGCCACACAACAAGGTGGGTATTACGCTAGAGAAAGATGCTACGAAATGGCCAGAAGAAAAGCTGAAAAAGAAATCGGAGGTTGATGAGGATGCGTATAATCTCATCATCATGAACTTGTCTGACAGTGTGCTAAGGAAGGTAGATGGTATGGAAACTCCAATCGCTTTGTGGGGTAAACTCGAAACCTTGTATGCTTTACAATCTGCACCTAACCTTGCTTTTTTAAAAGGTTCTTTGTTTTCATATAAGCTAGATGAATTTTTGAAAATGACACTGATACTGAAAGGTACTGATCGAGAATTATGTGACTCCAACCTAGCCATGATTCTACTAAATTCATTGCCTGAGTGCTATTTAATGGTAAAAAAATGTCTTATAGTATAGTGGGACTGTCCCTAGTGTTGATCTAATAATTGCTGGGTTGAAATCTAGGGAGCTAGAATTAAAAATCCAAAAAAGGAATGGAAACAACTTGTTTGTAAATAGTAGGATAGATTCTGGTTAATTAGGAAAGGAGGTAGGAAGAGGTTCTAAGAACAAGAAAAAGGGAAAGGGAAATAGTAGGTCGAAGGGAGAAACAAGGAAATGCTTTTATTGTAATAAAACTGGGCATCTTAAGAAGAACTACTATGAGTGGATTAAGAAACATAAACAGGCTAATATTGAAAGCAATCTAGCTTGTGCTAGTAATAGCATTGAGCTCTCTAAAGCTCTTATATTGTCTAATTCTACTAGTGTTAAAGAATGAGTATTAGATTCAGGATGTTCCTTTTATATGAGTCCAAATAGAGACTGGTTTCAAAACTTTAAGAGGGATGAGCATGAAACTGTGTTCATGGGGAATAATCACTCTTGTAAGGTCCAAGTAATTGGTAATGTAACAATTAAGCTGATTAATGGTAAGGTAATAATGCTAACTAAGGTTAGATATATACCTGAACTAAAACGAAACCTGATCTCTTTAGGAACTCTTGATGAGGCTGGTTGCTGTTATAAGGCACAAAATGGGTGTATAGTAGTGTACAAAGATAACAACATATTGCTTCAGGGAACTAAAAAGAATGGTTTGTACATACTATGTGGACACTATTATCATGATGTTTTTAATACTGCACTTTTCTCTACTAACATGTATGTGGCACAAAAATGGCGCTTGAGAATGGGCCATATGGGCTAGAAAGGAATGAGTACTCTCAAACAATAGAGTTATTTTGGTAATGATACTGTTTTTGACTTAGAATTTTGTAAAACTTGCATTTTGGGTAAGTAACACAAATTGAGTTTCCAAAAGGAACTCATCTGGCCACTAACTATTTTGAATATTTGCATGCTGACTTGTGAGGTCCTGACAGGTTTAGGTCACATGGTGGGAATAGTTACTTCTTATCCATTGTAGATGACTATAGTAGGAAGGTATGTATATACCTCCTTAAGTCTAAGGATGAAGTTTTAACTAAGTTTAAAAACTAGAAGATTTTGATAGAGAACCAAATTGATAAGAAAGTTAAGGCCTTTATGACAGATAATGGACTGGAGTTTTGCAACTCTAAATTTGATAAATACTGTATAACCATGGGATTCTAAGGCATAGGACAATTAGAAGAACTCTTCAGAAAAATGGTGTTGCTGAGAGGACGAACAGAACACTGTTAGAAAATGTGAGGTGCCTCCTATTTACTTTAGGACTGCCTAAAACCTTTTGGGGAGAAGCTTTAACCATTGTTGCCTACCTAGTTAATAGAAGTCCCTCTAGTGCTATAGAGTTCAAATGTCCAGAAGAGAAATGATCTAGTAGAAAGCCAAGCCTTAATCACTTGAAGGTGTTTGGGTGTGCTACTTATGCACACACAAGTGATGGGAAATTAGAACCTAGGTTTCTTAGATGTGTATTCTTGGGATACCAAGAAGGGACCAAAGGATATAGGCTGTGAAAAAGATGCACAGGGGGTCAGAGTCATAATTAGCAAAGTATATTTCCGTGCAAAACTACTAACATCAATACAAGCACCTCTAGTAGTGAGTTTGTGGACCAAAATCAAGGTGACTACTCAAATTGAGGTGGAGCCAGCAAGATACACTGAACTAACCAATCCAAATGAAGAAACTAAACTAATAGAGGAACCACTTGTAGCTGATCTTGACCAAGGTACTGAAGATGAACTGATAGAGAATGTTGAGGAGGCTCAACAAGATGAACTTACACAATATCAGCTGGCAAGGGATAAAGTTAAAAGACAAATTAGAACTCCTGCCAGATACAGCTATGCAGATTTGATCTAGACTGCCTTGATTGATAGAGTAGAGGTACAGAAAACTGAACCTGATACTTATATAGAAGCCATGAGCTTTAAGGATAGCAAGAAGTGGCTTGCTACCATAAAAGAAGAAATGTAATCTTTGAAGGTGAATGAAACCTGGTCATTGGTCCAAAAACCTAGAGACCAAAAAGCTTGTGGAGTGCAGATGGTTGTTCAAACTAGAAGAAGGTACAAGTTAGTCTAATCCTCTGAGTTAAAAGGCTAGATTAGTAGCAAACGGCTACACACAGAGAGCGGGTATTGATTTTAATGAGATTTTCTCTCCAATAATTAAGTTTAAGACAATTAGGTTAATGTTATCAATTGTTGCACACCTTGACTTAGAGTTAGAATAGTTAGATGTTAAAACTGCCTTCTTACATGGTGAGTTAGAAGAGGAAATCTTCATGAGTCAACCTACTGGTTTTAGAGATAAAAATCTTCCTGACCATGTGTGTTTGTTGCATAAATCCTTGTATGGTCATAAACAGTCCCCTAGACAGTGGTATAAGAGGTTTGACTCCTTCATTGTTAGGATTGGGTTTACTAGGAGTAAATATGACAACTCTTTTTACTTTCATTCACTAATAACATGCCTATATATTTACTTTTGTATGTTGATGACATGTTGTTAATTAGTAAGTCTAAGTCCAAAATAGATGACTTAAAAGCAAAATTAAGTGTTGAATTTGATATGAAAGACTTAGGCTGTGTAAAGAAGATACTCAGAATGGTGATAAAGAGAAATAGAAAACTTAACCAACTAAAACTTCACCAAATGTCATACTTACAGAAATTGACCTCTAAGTTTGGAATGTCTGATTCTAAATTAGTTACCATGCCATTAGCAAGCCATTTTGTTCTTAGTAAACTGCAGTGTCCTAAGACAGAGGCTGAAATGATAAAAATGGAGAACATTCCTTATTCTAATGCAATAGACTCAATCATTTATGCTATGATATGTACTAGGTCTGACCTGTCATTTGCAATATCTTTGTTAAGTAGATATATGTCAAATCCTAGAATTGAGCATTGGTTGCACTAAAATGGTTGTTGAGATATATTAATAGCTCTGTGCATGTTGGGTTGGATTATTGTAAAAGGAATGATACACTTGGTCTAGTTAGGTATGTAGACTCTGATTTTCTAGGAGGCAGAGATACAAGGAAGTCCACAACAGCTTACTGCTTCACACTTGGGGGGAATTGTGTAAGCTAGAAATCACAACTACAACCATTGGTTCATTGTCCACAACAAAAGCAGAATACATGGTTATAACTGATGCATTCAAAGAAGCTTTATGGCTTCAAGGGATCTTGAAAGAAGCCAAGCTACTGGATGGACTTGTGACTGTATATTCTGGCAGTTAAAGTGCCATACACTCAAGTAAGAATCTGGTGTACCATGAGAGAACCAAGCTTGTAGATGTAAGGTTCCATTTTGTTAGAGATCTCATCTCAAGAGGATAGTTGGATCCAGTGGCGGAGCCAGGATTTTTGCCCAAGAGGGGCCTCCATAGCTCCACCATTGTTTGCCAAACAACTAGTGAAAACTTTTAAAAAACCACTAAACCTTAAGCAAAAGAGTTTACAGCAACCACAATCCACCAAAAATATTCCACACAAATTTAGAGGTCAATCACAACTCTAACACAAGTAAAATACATAAAAGTTTACAAAGAGATAGATTAAAATCACCAGAGAAGCAGTCAAACTTCATGTTGTATAACTCCAGTCTCCAAATCCAGACGTTAATAACAAAACTCAACCGTCTAGATTAAAGATCCACACATCCTCTGCGTATTGACCAAAAAATCAAGTTAGAATGGTATACCTGAAGATTTAAATATATGAATATTGATTGTTTAAATATGAAAGCAAGTTAGAAAGGTATACCTGAAGATCTTCAATTTAACACGATTTTCCGCTTCGATATATTTTGAAAGTGTTCAATGATATCTTCATTTTCAATTGTAGCAAAAACTTCCTTTTCAATGTAAACCACCAAGCAATTGTTCATCCAGTCGTCTCCCATTCGATTACGCAAACTATTTTTCACAAGATTCATTGTAGAGAACACCCTTTCAACTGTTGCAATAGCCACAGGCAAAACCAATGCTAATTTAATAAGCAAGAAAACTTTGTTGTAAGCAACATCCTTCTTAAACTCAACCATTTTTTTAGCAAGGTCGGCAATCCCTTCGACATGAGTGAAATTGGCATTGGTGCTAACATCCTCATAATAGTTTTCAAGTTGATCATCGAGCAACCAAATATCGTGTTGAGGAAAATCGGAAGGATAGAACTTTGCAAATTCAAGTAATCTATCTTTGTTAAATGCAACAAAAGAGTTACCTAGATCAAGAGATGACATATATTAAAGCAACCTCATATTTACTTCATCAAAACGATTATTGAGTTCTTCTTGAATGTTATCCAAAACTGTATACATCAATTCCACCTTAAAATGATGTTTATTCGTAATTGGTGCAATCCCTCGTTTTGTCCTCCTAAAGTTATCTTCCATATTCCCCAAGATTGGTATGTCATTAACTTTGCACATATCAGAAGCTTCTCTTAACAATATGTCGAAGCAAGTGTCTTCATTTCTCATTTTATGCAATCAACGCTTCGAAATTTGTACAAATTGTATGGCATTAAGAAGATCATGATCTTTTCTTTGTAATGCTTGTGACAGTTCATTTGTGATTCCCAATACTCTTTTCATTAAGAATAACAAAAAGACGAATTCAAAATTCTCCATGACTCGTAATAAACTCCTTGCTTGACTTTTGTTTTGCCAATCGTCTCCTTCAATCTCAATCACCCTAAGCACATCAACAACAGAAGAAAATAAATTTATGACACTATGAATTGTCCCTATGTGTGAACCCCAACGTGTATCTCCTGGTCGTTTAATAGTGCATTCCTGATTCAAACCTCGTCCCATATGAAGATCACCATTAGAAATCAAAGATATTACATTTTCATATTGTTTATCATGTAGAAGATCTCTGCACTTACAAGATGCCGCTATGGTGTTTGATAACATAGAAAGAGATTGAAAAAATTCACCTAATGCTGAATGGTTACTTACAACTTTGACCAGCGCCAGTTGGAGTTGATGAGAGAAACAATGAATGTAGAAAGCAAATTTATTTTCTCTCAATATCAAAGTTTTCAAACCATTGAACTCACCTCTCATATTGCTTGCTCCATCGTAACCTTGCCCCCGTAAACTTGTCAAACTCAATCCATGCTTTACAAAAAAAGCATCTATTGCAATTTTCAAAGACTTTGCAGAAGTATTCTTAACATGCACAACCCCGATAAAACGCTCAATAACACAACTTCTGTTGTCCACATAGCGAAAAACAATGGCCATTTATTCTTTCACTGCCACATCACGAGATTCATCAACTAGTAAAGATATCTCTCACAATTTCTGCAATAATTTTCTTGGTCATCAAATGAGCACAAACACTAGTTAATTCCCTTTGGATGTTGGGGGCCGTCATTTGATGGTTTTTCGGAGCATTTTCCAGCACAACTTTTTTTATGTCGTCATTATGATTGGATAGAAACTTCAATAATTCCATAAAGTTACTTTGATTTTCATATTCAATCGACTCATCATGACCACGAAATGCCAATCCTTGATGTAAAAGAAATCTAATGCAATCAATTGATGCATTCAAGCGAATGCGATAGTCCAATTTGGCCTTTTTAAACAAACAAGCAAGATTTACATCGATGTGTTGCCTTTGGTTTATCAAATCAACACACTTAGCATGACATTGGTTATGAGTACTAGAATGATCTCCAACATGTTTTTTCACTTTCGCTTTATCTTTCCAATTATTAAATCCCTTACTCACAAAAACTTCACCACCTGCTTGGTCACCATAATCAGTTTTGAAAAGATAACAATTTAAACAAAAGATGCAATCTTTTGCCATACTATATTCTATCCAACTTGGACCTTCTTTGTACCACTCTAGTGTTAACCTACGCTTTTTATCTCCGAAAAGAGTGAAAGGAAAGTTATGATCTTTAGGTTGGGAAGGACCTTTCAATAAGTATGCTCTTCGAACTTCCTCCTTTTGCTTGTCAGTACAACAAATCTTGTTAATTGGTATCCTCAATCCTGGATCAGTTTCAAGCTCATCTAAATTGAACATCCTGACCGAAGGTTGAGCTTCTTTTACTTGGTGTTGTTGTTGCTAATGTGGGGTTTCTTCTTCTAATGGGATTTGATTAACCTCAATATCAATAGAGTCTCCACCAACAATTTCTGCTGGAATTTTCTTTAATCTCTTGAAATAATTGGATATCATAGCTATCAAATAAAAAAAAGATAATATGATACATGCAAAGAAAGACCGATGAAATTTTAATTAATAAAATTACAAGGACTGACTTATCACGTTTTTAGATGTAACAATTAGATCTAATTAAAATATTATTTTAGCAATTAATTAATCATTTTATTGTGTTAATTTTCTTATATTTAAAATCATTTTAGTGAAATTTAAAAACTTATATAATTTGCTAATCAATTTTTTGACTTATTTAAATTATTGGCATAGATCAACTAGATTTAATTTAATTACTATTAGAGCATACTTAGTCAACTAATCACATTCTAAAATAATAAAAATATCATTATTAATATATTAATGATTGGTGCAAATCAAGTCATCCTCTAATTATATAAAAAATTAATCTTGTAAATGTATTTGTGATATCTAAAATCACAAATTAATATTCAAACAATTACAAAATCAAACAAACTCACAAGATTTATACTTTTTTTCATCAGAATAAAAAACCTCCATAAAAACAAATATGATTTAACCCTAGAATAAACTAAATTAAAATAAGTAATATAACATACCTAAAACTGATAAAGCAGAAAATAGCCTTCAAAAGTTATAACTTCAACCAAGCCAATAAGACAAAGAGAAAGAGAGGCGCACTCCCTAATAAAATTAGGGATAAAAAATTGTGATTTTATAGAGATTGGCCGCATATGACATATATATAATATATTTATACTAATAACTAGTGGGTCTCGCAATATTTATGATGGGTGAACCTCTGCATTATGCCATTACCATATTAGTTTTTAGTTTTAGTTTGATTGTGGCTTGTGGGCTATATGTATTGTACCTTTTTGATATAAAAATCATTAATTATAAATATTGGCAAATTTTTTTCAAAATCTGAGGGTAGGCCCATGCCTACTCTCAAGTATGCTAGATCTGCCCCTGGTTGGATCTGAAGAAGGTACCAATTGAGGAGAATCCAACTGACATGGGGACAAAAGTAGTGATTATTGCCAAGTTCAAGCATTGCTTGGACTTGTTACACATAAGGTAATGTATACTGAGTCACTTGCTGCACTAATGTAAGGATACCCTGAAGGAGTTTGTTGGCTTCAAGGTGGAGATTATTAATTATGAAGCTAAAAAACGGTGCTATCTGAGTTCAAGTTATGCGCTGTCGTTTTGATCCATAACTCATTCAATCTTGATCGTTGCTTTGAAACTGATCCAACGGTTGCAATTCTCCATCCAGGTCAACGGTATATAAGTAGGCAATCGCTCTTATTATAAAGGAGTCTTCTTCATCTCTGTTGTGTGAATCATCTTTTGCTCTCTGTTAGGGTTTATCTCGTTAGGTCTCAAAATTGTAATCTCTTGTTGTGATCGGTAGAATCGCAAGGTGAATTAGGTTGTGTTTCCTTCTGAGTTGGAGAATCTTGGGTAGTTTTTCTCTTAGGTTTAAAGGGTTACAGTAGAGTTTTCAGGTTGAGAGAAAAGAGGGCTAGTCTTGATTAAGAAGTGTATTATACTGTGTAAATCTTCAAAGTTAGTGTAGTGAGCCTCAATATTATGGAGCTCAACATGGACGTAGTTTATCCAAATCTTGGATAGGTGAACCACAGTAAAGACTCTTGTGTGTTCATTCTTGATTGTGTGTGTGTGAGATTGGTAGATATACATTGATAATTAGGCCCTAATCGTAACAATACACTTGTCTACTATTGCCAAATGTAAATTGGCAATAGCATTGGCTTCTATCTTCTCCCACTTTTCACCAATCAGTCAAACTTTGTGGTATCCCTTGAATTCCTTGCAAACAATTTCCTTTCTCAAGATTGCCATTATCTTTATATTCCATAGCATAGAGTCGATGTTGTTGAACTTTTCTAATTCATATTTTGCCGCCACCTTTGTAACGAACACAAACACCATAGAGAACAATATTAGTAAATAATATTGCACTTGTGAACAATATTGTCTGCTTGTGAACCATACTAGAAACCAATGCGCTGATACTACTCTTAGGAGATTGGAAAACCCAACTACCAGCATAATAAATATGAAATAAGAGAATGAAGCATGAGAATGATAATTAATGATAAAACTAACAGACAAAAGATTTACATGGTAAAACCCTCAATTGATTATAAGGAAAACATCTATGGGTAAAGACTATAAGCGTTTTATTAAGACAATAAATAAGATGTACAAAACCTCTCTCTAATGAATAGGAAAGCACTATAACACTTTTTCTCACAATGAGGAAAGACACTTTGGGAGAGTATAGCTAGTAGGTGTTAGTGATGTTGTGATGCTTTTTGGAGAAATGGACCATGATATTTATAAGAAACCATGATCTCCAAATCAATAGTATTTTTACTACATTCACATTTTCAAGTTCAATCATTGTAGCCATTTAATATATTTACATATTTTTGTCATAATCTCTTGTCACCCTTAAGTTACCTAGCCCACCATTTCTTACTCAAAATTCATTACCATGCATGTTAGTGTTGATGCATGATTTTGACATCAATGATTATGCACGTGCAAAGTGCTATGAAATTACACGTGAGATGATTATGGAGAGTGTTTATGGTGCAGTAATAATATTTGTTTGTTAATATGTAAATAACAAGTTGACAAGAGAGATTTAGAGACTTGTTTGGATGTTATAAGCAAGTCCTACGTCCACTGTGATTGTATTAATGACTTTCTATTTAACTGATAATGAAACAAACAAAGAGAGCGATCACTCAAGGTTACAAGATTGTAGTGTTCTAAGAGAATGATAAGCCAATCTCTTTCTAGTAATATGTCTTTGTTATTTTTTATGTAGAATAAATGTGTGAATAATCTATTTTTTGAGGAGTAGAGCTGCTTATTTATACTTTTTTTTAGCTCAATGTAATGAGTGCTTTTGCAAGTTGCCTCCAATTTGGTAAAGATATTCCTTCATTCTGATTCATTGAGAGGTTTCACCTATATCTTTAAATTTAATGAAATTGCGGCATTTTTTATGGGTGTTCAAAACCCGTTAACCGAACTGGTTTTTTGGTTTAGGAATTTTCATGAACCGAAACCGAAATGGTTAAGGGGAAAGCCGGTTTTAATTTAATATTCTATATATTTTTTTAATTTAATATTTTTATAATAAACTGGATTTTTTTTATTTAATATTTTTCATAATAAACCGGTTAGTAAAATCGGTTTCGGTTAATCGTTTCCCATATTCTCCCAAATCGGTAACCGAACTAAAAATTCGGTTTTTTAACTTCTTTGAACTGAAACCGAACTGGTTTTTCTAATGACTGGAAATTTGGTTCAGTTACCAGTTTGGTTTGGTTTCTGTATTTTTTTGAACACTTCTAGCATTTGTTTGCACAAAATATCATTCTAAGCCGGTTTAAGGATCAAACAGTTAATATAGTTTTGTTTTCAAGTGCTTGATGAATCCTAATCGGTGAAGATGCATGCTGAGATCTAATTGGTGGAGAAGTCTGCTAAGTTTTGATTGGTGAAAATGACATCAGCATATCATTTAGGCATAACAGTTAGTAAACTCATTTGTCAAAGTTTGTGAGCTAATTGCCTGCAAACCATGTGAAAGTGACTTCGCATTTCAACAAAACTTATAACTTACTATTTTCCCATATGCATGTATGCTTGAAACAATGGCAAAGTTTTCACAAATAACAATATGCTTCTGCAGCTATCTTCCCCACAAAATCCGTAGCCTCCACTAAAGTATGAAATTAACCCATTTCAATTACAACAGATTTAAGAAAAAAATTGCAAACATTCATCGTTGGGGAAGACAACGAATTAACACAATAATGGATGTGACCAAAGTTGAAAGATAGTATTTAATTGTGGTTGTGGCAGACGGGAAGTACAATAATTGTATGTAAAGACTGAGAAACACCGAGGTCCACCATTCCAATGCCTTTTGAGTTTTGTCTTCTTCTTTACTCCTGCCGGGCAGCTGTCTAACACGTAAAGATATTTATATGTAAGAACAGTCATGACGATTGACGACAACCAAATTATTTATGTA